TAGTGGGGTCATGTTGTGTCCACGTCCTGTTCGCCTGGCTGTTCCTTCGTGGACAAAGGACACTGTGTGGCCTTGGCACTCAGCCCTGACCTGTGGAGGAGGAAAGGCTCTGAGATGCTGGGATCACAGGTGTGTGCCACCGTGCTTGCTAATAATAATTTTTTTTAGATGAAAGACATAAGGACCAACTTCCCTATGAAAAAGAGTAAAGGACATAGAGAAGAAAAGTGACAGAAAAACTACAAACAACCAAGAAATATGTAAAAAAGAAAAAAAAAAGCCTAGCCTCCTTAAAATTTGAAGAAATTTAAGGGCTAGTCCATCCATGGGAGTGTCAGTGGGTCTAACCTTCCCCTTGGACCTTAAAAACAGTCAGCCCTTAAGACCTGCAATGTGGGCTGAAGATGTAGCTCAGTGGTAGAGTATGTGCTTAACATACACTACACCCTAGGTTTGATTCCCAACATCACCAAAAACAAATAGAAGCAAATAAATTATTTTGTGGTGGCACACATCTGTAATCCCATTACTCAGGAGGCTGAGGCAGGAAGATTGCCATCAGTTCGAGGTCAGTGTAGGTTACACAGTGAGTTCAAGGCCAGCCTAGACTACAGAATGAGACCCTGTGAAAAACCTCCAATACCCAGGTGGGTGTGGTGGCACATGCCAACAATTCCTTCACTAAAGAGGCTGAAGCAGGAGGATCACCATGAGTTCAAGGGCAGCCTAGGTTACACAGTGAATTCCAGCTTGGACTACATAGACCCTGCCTCAAATGAAACAAAAAATATGTCACACTCCCTACCCTTGAGCACTAATGGGACACTGCAGGCTCAGCCTCCCACTGCCTCGTGGACCTGCTTTCTCACCTCTTGAATCTGGGTTGGCTCCAGTGACTTGCCCGACAGTAGAATGTCATCAGGAGGAGACGTAGGACTCCCACACTGAGGAGTCTCACAGCTAGCTCCCTTCCCACCTTCCTGGAGCTCTCTTCTGAGGCCCTGAGCACCAGCTGCACCAGATCTGACTACCACCCAGGGCTGCAGTGCTGGGGACGCACAGATGGGTGGGCTGGGCCTGGCGGCAGCTGCATAAAGCCCTCCAGGCTTCCTGGCAATCCTTCCTATCCCATAGGACTGAAGAACCACACACTCGACCCCTGCCAAAAGCCCTGCCTCAGAAAACTGCAGGATAGAAAATGGTCCTTTTAAACCATGAAGTTTCCAGGTTGTCTGTTTCACAGCAATAGTTAATTGGAGCGGGCAGAACCAGCCAACCATGTACAAACAGCATGTGCACAGCCACATTATTTATGTGAATGAAAAATTGGAGGGGCAGGGGGTATAGCTCAGTGGTACAGCACTTGCTTAGCATACATGAAGCCCTCTGTTCAATGCCTGGAACCTCAAAAAATGAAACAAAACTCTGGACTGAGAATTACTGAGAAAATAGCTCCTCACTGTGTAACCATCTCTGAAGGTCATGGTAGTGCATGCCTATTATCCTCACGATTCATGAGGGTGAAGTGGGAAGATCACAAGTTTGAGGCCAGCCTGGGCAACTTAGGGAAGCTCTGTTTCTTTTCTTTCTTTCTTTTTTTTGTCTTTTTGAGGCAGGGTCTCGCTATGCAGTTCAGGCTGAACTTGAGCTCACTTTGTAGCTCAGGCTGGTCTCAAACTCACAACCATCCTCCTGCCTCAGCCTCCCAAGTGCTGGGATTACAGGTGTGCACCACCACGCTCAGCAAGACTCTGTTTCAAAATAAAAAATTAAAAGCACTGAGGATGATACCAGATGCTGGCGAGGATGTGGTGCAACTCCCTTTTCCTGCTAGTGGACACACACAGGTTCTTGCCGTCCTAAACAAAGAAGTAGGACAAAGAGTAGGACACCCAAAGTAGCAGCAAGAGCAAAGATCTGAAAGAAAAGACGCTGCACAGGGTGGGAGCTGGCTGGTGAAAAGAGATGAGTTATCTGGTTGCCTTTTTCTGTCGCATTTAGAACTGGCCCAGGCCTGGCCAGTGAACCTGGAAGGGGGATTTACCTTGTTTCCCGGCCCTTTTCTGGTTACCTCCTGCTCAGTGTGGTCGCCTTAGGAGGCAGCTTTGCAGCTCTTTACAAAACTGCAGATGCCACATCGCCAGATGAGCTGGAAACACATCCATAGGAAAGCCTGCACACAAATGACTACAGCGGCTCTGTTCACAGTTGTCAGAAACTGGAAGCAGCGGGGCGTGGTGGTGCACACCTGTAACCCCAGCACTGCGGAGGCTGAGCCAGGAGGAGCATTGTGACTTTGAGACTAGCCTAGGCCACAAAGTGAGTTCAAGGCCAGCCTCAACTGTATAGTGACACTGTCTCAAAAAGACCAAAAAAAAAAAGGAAGTAAATAAGATGTCCCTAAATAGGTGAATGGATAAACAAGTATATCATACATTTGAGTAATTTTTGGATTTCAAAGAAATGAGATATCTTGGGGGCTGGGAATTTAGCTCAGCGGCACAGCGCCGGCCTGGCAAGTGCAAGGTCGTGAGTTCGGTTCCCAGTACTGGAAAAAAACCCAAAAAAAAAAAAAAAAAAAAAGAGATATCAAGTCACAAAAAGAAGAAACTTAAAATGCATGTTGGTAAGTGAAAGTAGCTAGTCTGAAAGGTTGTCTGTCTGTTAATGTATTCCTTTTATTTTTAAAATTAAAAAAAAAAGAAAGCTAGTCTGAAAAGATTACATATAGCATGACTCCAAGAACATGACATTGCAGGAAAAAAAGAGCAAAACTATATAGAGATAGTAAGGTGCTGTACAGGATTTTTTTTTTTTTTCCTGAGGTAAGGTCTCATTATGTAGTTTAGGCTGTCCTCAAACTCACTGTGTATCTCAGGCTGGCCTCGAACTTGTGGCAGTCCTCCTGCCTCAGCCTCCAGAGTGCTGGGATTACAGGCTTGCACCACCATGCCTGGCATCATAGATTTTTAGGGAGGTGAAACTATTCTATAAGATGCTGTAATGAGCCAGGTGTGGTGCATGCCTGTAATCTTAGAACTCAGGAGGCTGAGGCAGAAGGATTGCCCTGAGTTCAAAGGCAGCCTGAACTGCCTAGGGAGACCCGTCTGAAAAGGAAACAAAAACCAAACCAAAGAGATGCTGTAATAGGGAACATCTGACCCGCATTGTCAAGACCCAAGTAACACACCACAATGTACCAGTATTGTTTCATCAATTGTGATGTTACCAATGAAGTGTAAATTATTTTTATTTAAAATTCTTTTGCAGCACTGAGGTCACATCCAGGGCCTGCTATATGCCAGGCAAGAGCTTTACCACTAAGCTACATACTCAGCTTTCCTACTATAGGATCTCACTAAGTTGCTCAGGCTGGCTTTAAACTTGTGACCCTCTTAGCTTCACTGGTAGCTGGGATCACAGGTGCACACCACCAGGCCCAGCACAAAGTATTTGTAATAGGGAAAATTGTGTGTGTGTGTGTGTGTGTGTGTGTGTGTGTGTAGGGAGAGCAAGAGGATATAAGGTAACTGTAGTTTCTACTCACATTTTCAGAACATCCCCAGACTGCTTGAAAGAAGTTTATTAATAATAAAAAGTAGCCCCTTAAACAAAAAGCAGATAGTGTGCAGATCTGTTTCCTTTTTCATTAGACATGAGGTGGGTCCAGGAATATGTACCCAAACTGCTAACACCTAAACATAAAGGTGAACAAGACCAACGACTGTTTCTTTGTTTTGAGACAGGGTCTCACTATACAGTTCAGGCTGGCCTTGAACTTACTACGTAGCCCAGGCTGGCCTCTAGCTCATGGCGATCCCCCTGCCTCAGCTTCCTGAATGGTGAGATCACAAGTATATAACCACTACTAGCTGTAAGTTTCTAATGGTTTATCAAGGGCAATAAAGTCAGACATGGTGGTACACACTTGTAATTCTGGCATTCTGGGAGGCTGAGGCAGGAGGATTT